AAAACTGCTTGGCCAGATGAAAACGTCATTATAAGCAATGAGAAGACCAAACCAGTGAGCTGAAAGGCACTGAAATGCTCTATACGCCTGAGGAAAACTGCAGGGTCAAGTTAGATTTCGATCAGTTTATGACTACAAGACACTTCTTTGACAACACACATCTCACACCTACATGGACAGGTTTCACAGGGTAAAAACACAGTCATATTGTAAAGAAACAAAATGCTTGTTGTTTTTTGACTAAACGTATAGTGACATATCAAATATATTGAAGGGTGTTACAGTCAACGTCTTCTGCACATGCAGCTTCACTTAATGGTGTTTATCCCTCCAGTATATCCCATGATCATCAGGTAGAAAACAGGCAGTTGGTCTCCCCTTTTCCATTGTTCCCTAACTACATATTTTTCACACTGATGCTGCAGAGTGAACAAAGCTGCTGCTCCACGGTAGTGCTAACCACCTCATCTCGGTATGTAGCACTCAGGTGCCTGCTTCAGTTCCCCTCCCAGACCTCGTGGGGCGAGAACTCATCAGAATGCAGCAGGCTTACCTGCCTGCCCGTTTCTCTTCACGCATTAGTTTTCACCGTGGCACCGAGGCGGGGAGGCACAGGCCGAAAGGCATGCAGGTAGGCGCATGCGGCTCAGATGGAAGCCACAGCCTTCCTGTTGACATTTGTCTGTTCTTTGCTGTCGACGCTCACTCGGCTGGTTAATAGAAAGATGTAAATAAGGCAACACTGCGTGTTGTTCCTCGTCATTTACATGTACGTAGGGACATTTCAAGATTAACTGCTGAACCAAGCAGTGACTCTGGGTTATATAATGAGCTAATTACAAATGATTCAACAGATTTCAGTGATTCAGGTAAAACACAGCGTTCATGTCTGAGGCCCTATTGTAGTGAAAGCTGGCAGTCCAAAGTCATTAACTTTTCTGCCTGTACAATACAGGTAAGCTTGAAGATAAGCAGACTGCAGTTTGACTACAATAAAAGAAAAAAGAAAAAAAATGAATGAATGTTTACAATACCACCGGTTCACCTCTTGTTATTCCAAAAGTTATTTGCACAGTGTTGCAGATATAAAAATCATTTTCAGCTCTCAGGTGTAATCATCACAAATTAATTTTATTTTTTTAGTCAGAGCTACAATGCCACAGGGTGCCCAGCTGACACAAAACGCATTTTCTCCCGTCATGCCTGCTAAGCCAATGAAATGAGTATTTTTAAAAAAATGTTTCATTTGCCCATAACTGTAGCATAATCCATTTCTATTTAAATGACAATCGTTTGCTTCAAACAAAGCGACGGAGCACTTCATAATGACTGTAAAGTACATTCACACACCTTAAATCAAACACATTTTTATTACTATATAAACACTTGTTTTGCTAAATTTATTTTTGAGCAGGTGGGAAACTGACAAATGGCAATAACATGTCAGAGTTGTTTTAGGCCTTAAAATCTATTCTCTTAAGAGCTTAATAAATAAAAACAGTGTAATAAAATTTTTAAATTTCACAATTGGAAAAAGAAAAACCACAGCAAAGTGACTGTTGGTCAGACAAAACTTTGAGCTGTGAGTTTCACTATTTACTGTGCAGGGTGTGGGCCAGCACACAGGCTGGACTTAAAATGTCCCTCCGCATTAGGGAAATAGACATATTTACGACATTTCTTTAGCGCATAAGCTACAACTTTAACTAAATTCATTATATTAGCCTACAAGCACTTTTTCAAATTTAAGTCATATTGCTGATATATTACACTTATTTTAAGGTTCTACTGTGAATTATCAGGATTAATTATCTTTATTTATTCTAATACAGGTAGAGATGTATGTATGTCCCTGCAGTGTAGCGCCGATAAATGTGTGTCACACATTTATTTTGAAAGGGAAAGAAAGTCTATTTTGGACACTTAAAGTGAAGAAAAAAAAACGTGAAAAAAGCAGGCAAGCACAACAGGGAAGAGGAAAGATCCAAGAAGAGATTACAAGTTTTTTAGACTAATGTAGCAAATTTAGGAGGAAAAAAATGTCTATTTTTCCCATCAAGGAGAATACCCTTTCAATAACAATAAAGAGAAATATGATGTCAATAAAATAACATGTAATAACTAATCTTACCATTAACCTCCTAGAACCTGGCATCCACATATGTGGACATCACATTTTGAGACGTCTAGACCAAAATACTTAATTTTTCTCTACAAGAGCCTGATATCCACTTACGAGGACATTATACTGCCACTGTTCTATCAAAATTTGAAACAAATGTACGTGGATCTCATTTTTTCACAAAAACAAAACTTAAGTAAAAAAAAAAAAATCTGGTAACTCTTTGTTTTTACATTCTTTAGGCCCCAATCAACCAAAATAGCAACGAAAAATTAAAAATGCATGCCATGAAAGAGGTCGGGTCTTAGGAAGTTAAGGCTTCAGCAGGCATGTTGCCAAGACTCTGATTACGTATGGACTAGAGTAATTTGAACCAGGCCAAGTTTTCAAAATTAAAGCTTCTATTGATAACACGCAGACAAATGTTTGTGTAAAAATGAAGGAAACATAACTAATCTATCACTGTTACTGTGTGATTTTGTGCGTGGTGAGGACCAATATAGGTCATTCATTCACTTAAACACAGAAATTCAAAGTGTAATTAAATACCTTCTTATTCAAATGATTATTGTCATATAGAAGAGAGAAGAGGAGTGGGAGAAAGAAAGAGGCTGTCGGGTGAGCTACACTAAATGGTATCAACAGAGAGCGAGAGAGACAGCAGCGCACTGCGCTGTAAATTCATTAACTTCTCTCAAGAGAAACCGCCTAAGCTTTCAAGGAGAAAATACAACAGGCACAAATTTTCAGCTAACTCCCGTCTTCTCTATTGTTCAAGGTTTTTCTACTTTCAATAGAAAAGGTAGCTATCTGCTGCACTAAGTGACTTCATCCTCACTCTAGCCCATTACATGTTTTTTTTTTCCTGCAGAGGCAGAACCTGACGTAATATCCCTACTGCTTAAAAATAATAATAACGTGAAAGTCTAAATATAAATGCAAGAAAAACCACATCCATTAATTACAGGTGACCTACTTCTTAACAACTCTCGAGATAAAATATTTTGTTGTGTTTTTCCACTGAGGCTTCTGGTGTAAAAAGAAATCTCAAACAGTATGAGAAAACCATCCAGGCTCAGTGTACCTAAAAACCCCTGAAGCCCTAGAACATCAAGCTCACGTCAGGAGGTATGGGATCCACATCAGTACACAATGCATTTTAAAAAAAAAAAAAAAAAAGATAAAGAAAGTTTCTTCGTCTCTTGAACAACTGCTCTTAATCGTGACATGCATGCTCCAAACAAATAGGTATCTGTCAGCGTGACATAGGCCGTTTATGCTTTCAGAAAGGAAAACAAATTCATATTTATTTTAACTACTTCAAATAAAAGCTGATGAAAAAAAATTCTCGGTTGCTTGTTGTTAAAGGTGGGGCCCTAACCCCTTAGATCCACCTAAAATACTGCTGTAGAGCCTCGGCAACATAGAAACACACTAGGAAAACAGTCAACAACATCCTGGCAACCATAGATCACTAAAGAAAAATGTTTATTCCCTGAGCACTTGAAAACGTACGCTGCACACCGGAAACAGAGAATGGCCACCTTCTGTAATACATTTCAAAGGGTGCAACATTTTGAAAGAGTAGATACCTGATTTCCTGTGTGTGAGACACTTTTCACACTTTCACTACCACTCAGCGCATAGTCGATGAGTGGCTGCCAGCAACCGCTCGCACACCAATCTGCGAATACGCATTCGTCCCTAGCAACCACAGGTTGCCAGGCCTGCCTGAGGCCAGCAGACAAACTACAAAGAAGATTAACAGCACTGGTGTAAGGGACTGTTTACAAAGCACAACACTAAAAAACAAACACATTCAGGTATAAATTCACTCACATACAGTGGGGGTTTTTCCCCTCACCAAAAGCATTTTACACATTTGTGATATCCTGCCGATGGTACTGCCATACAATGTGTAAATGTGCTTCCAAGCCTTTTTTTTTCTTTAAATTTAAACTATTAAATTTCAATGTACAATAATGGGACTAGAGAGAATTGGAGGAAAAATTATTTACAGTAGATGTCTATTAGAAAGTGCAGTAACTAAATTTAAGGAAGGGCCTCCATTCTTATTTCCTTCAATGCAATGTGCTAGCACAATGGAGGACCCCTACATTCTGGTGACACTCCAGGAGACGTTATTACTGAATTTAATAAATGTAATACGTATGTATCAACTTTTTAAAATAAATGGTAAACTTACCCTGAATGAATATACATTTGGAGGAAAAATGTGCCTTTAATCTGAGTTTTTTTAACCATTGGCCTTAAGTGCACTAATAATACAACCCTTTTTGTTTTTAAGATAACACAAACAAATGTTGTGCTAACATTTAAAAAGAAAAAAAAATCCACATGTAAAAACAGCCTACAAGATTTAAATGAACTCAAGGCCTCTGAACACAAAGACTTTCCGCGCAGCCGCCATCTTAGCTTCCATTGATTTTCCTTAAATACTTATCTCAGATAACTTTCATTTCAACGGTCACCAGGAAATGGGAACTGTATGTTTAGTAACACTAGAAAAATATGATAAAGCAAGCCTAAAACTCTTTATCCACGTCGCCTCAAAATACCGTTTTAAAGAGCTTATTTGTTTTTAAAAAACCGGAAGCTCGACCACCCTTTGTCTGGGAATTAGTGACACGTATCTCTTCTGTAATGTCTCTGGTGGAATAAAGAAGTTTAAATTATTCAAAGAAAAAAAAAGTTAAAAGAACTAGACCTGTTTTAACTGACCAGGCTTTACATAAAACGTTCAGTTGATATCTGCTGACTTACATTCACTAATTACTGTAAGCTAAACCATTCATAGTTAACGAGGTAAACACAATACAGGCTAGCGCTCTTTTCTTGCTAATGTGCCTTACGTTACCTTTTTTTCCTCATGCTGACAGAAACTGCTGTTTCTTGTTTGTGCTCACAATTTTCCATGTAGAAACCTAGCAACAACAAACGTTGGGGGCCTGAAGAGCTTCTAGGCACGACTGCGAGGTCGCTACCAAGCGCTGACCAATGAGGAATGTTTGAGTCCGTCCCACATCATTTCCGGTTTCACACACACTCTCTATTCCCACTTTCGTATCAAATCCCTACTGTACTGAGTAATAAAGGAGAAAACATCCAGAAAACATAACATAAACAGCTGCTCTTAAGGGAATAGTATTCTATTAGCCTATATTAGTCTCCCAAATTAATACATATAAATCTAATTTTCAAACTGTTATACTTGAATGGGATGGTAGGGACTGCAGGATTCCCATGTGAAAAAAAAAAAAAGTAAAATAAGGTCTTAAAATCTCTTCTATTTTGTGTGTATATATTAGCATTACAAGCTTCCAAAGGTTTATGGCTCAAACGAGGAGCCACCTATTTACCTGTATTTTGCAAATCCAAATTATTATAACATAAGATAATCAGTAAAAAAAGATGTACATTTTTTTTCCTCAAAAACTTCTAGAATTATATTTATTTCTAAAGTTAAATACTGGACACAGACTTCTGCTGCACTGAAAAGTAATTTCTCTGTGCTAATTTAAAAAAAAAAAGTTAATTGTGTAAATTGCATGGCTGCCAAACTTGCTGTGATTTCACAGATCACGCTCACGGGAATGAGTGTTACACTCATAACTAAGCGTATAGGCTAATTCACGAGGGACGTGGAGCATTATGTGTAATCCTGTTCAAAAAGTAATTTCTGGTAATCACGCAAAATGCAGAAAACATTCAATCAGCTGCAATTACAGCATTTACATTTTAATGCGTTGGGGCTCAAACCACTTCCCTCACCACTGAGCCACAAGCAACAGAACAAAAAGGGAGGGGGGGGGGGAAGGAAGAATAATAAACAGAAAGATAATTCAAGAGTGCTCCTCATGTGTCGTCCTGTCCTGTGCACATCAAATGCCTGCCGGCTCCTCCAGAAACCGAGGACCCTTCTGTCCCCGTCACAAAGCACAAAGTCAGCACAGTCAGTGACAGACATACAGCCAGACCACGGGGACACACATGCACATCCAAAACACATTAATGTACAGTATAGCGGACTAGTTTGTCTACTCCTCTCTACATGCACACACTGATGCATTTCCTGTGTCTGCCTCTCACACACCTCAGTGCCTACAGCTACTGACAGGTGGATACCAGCTCATACTGCGGCGGTGCAGTGTGTGGGTCCGCTGCTAGCTGCTCCTCATGGCTGCTTCTGTTGCTTTATGTTGAGTTGTGCAGCTTGTTCCTGAGGTCTCATCCTTTAATCTGCCAACCATAAGGTATTATACCGTAGCTGGAAGGCTCAGCGCGTCTGCCATAGGTGTAGGTCCCAGGATCAATAACACATGCACACCACTCAACATTACGCAAGCCCTCAAACTGTTCCTGCTTTCTGTCTGCTGCTCTCTCTACAGTCTGTCTCTCAACGTCTCCGTCTTACTTCTCCCTCCAGCTCCCTCTGGAGAGCAAGCTTTACTTGTTCACACACACTTGAATGCACTGCCCCCCACCTCCCCCACCTCCATCTGCAGGGAAGTTCCTAACAGAGAGCGAAAATACGCACGGTAACTAGCAGGAGGTGAGTGAAGATTCATCCTCTGGGAAACAGAAACCCTGCACGTCTGGTCAATGAGCAACATCTTTCAAAACACCCCTGCCAGTCGCAGCTGCCGTCACTGTGGAGTCCTTAATCTCCAAACATCGGCACAACGCAGCTTTTGGAAAGAGTGTGTTCTCAAACACCGGGTCAGGAAATCACCGCCAAATTGGGGGAAATATTTATTAACGATGCCTCGGTCGCCATGTTTATTTTAAAATTTGGTGGGTTAACTTTATTTTAAGCCTACTTTGTATATTTATACAGGTTTACACCTATTCTTTTGCAGTCTTCCTTCTCACCTTTATTACAGTTTAGACTAATTAAATTAAAGAAGCAACACCTGACCTTTAATCCTGCAGTATTTAAGTGCTTATTTAAAAAGCCGCAAATATCGGAAATAATAATTCATTTAAGAGTTGGACAGAAATAAAAGCAGTTAAACATTAATTAATCAATAAATAGTCAGCTGATTGTTGAAACATTTATTTTTTTTAGCGCTTTTAATAAATGCAAAGTCCCAGCAGTGTTAGGAATGCAAGAAAAAGAAAAATAATAATAAAATAACAAGCACACATTAAAAGTAAATTCCTTTGCTTGCATTTGACAAGAGCAAACTTAAAGTAAACTTTCCACGAATGTGACACCTTTTTAAAAATAACAATGCTAGTGAAGAATACGAGAAAGATCCAGTGACAAGTAGGAACAGTAGGATATTAAATTAGCTGCTGACTTGCAGCAATTTTACATAACTAGGTAAAATGCAGTAACGGTGATAAGCCATCAGGAGATTAAGAAGGAGGTGGGATTATGTACAGTACATAGGACGCACTCGTGCAGGCTGGGGGACGCTAGTGCGTGCCGGTTTAAGGTTAAAATAACGTGAACAGGCCGCTCTATTTAGAAGAGGGAGTGTGTGGAGGGGCAGCAGCGTGAAGGAGAAAGAGGCGCTCATCAACCCCTCTGTTTTCCTCACTGTCCTCTACGGGGGAAAAAGAGCAGCTTTTAAGGTTTATGGCCATCCGGCTCCACGAGGGGGTGGAGTCAAATGGATTAGAGCCTCCGATACATTAATTACATTATAGTGCTCCTCCCAAAACCTTAGATCATCTTGTGTCACGTGACTCACAAGTGGCTGAAGTGGCATTATCCCTGTCAGACTTTAATCCTGCGGCTAAAATGGCTCCAAATCCTGATCTGCTCTGTGAAATGAAGTGGGGGGCTCGACAGGAAGCGTACAGGAAATAGAAAGGATTCAGAGCTACGTGTGCTTCAGCGCGAGGAGCAGTTGATTTGGGTGAGGAAGGAGGAGTTTGGCAGATGCCTGCACACTGTGTGGGAATGTAGTATATAGACTAATTCAATTATGGAAGCTGCTGACAGGGATACCGGCCCTGATCGATAACCAATAAATACTTGTGTAAATATCCTAGGATGACATCGATACCTCGGGTTAGAAAGCCGATCTGCACAACAGCGGGTAGCGGGTGGAAATGCCTATTTGCGTGGATAGCATTTAAAGTGAGACAGAGAAGGCGAGAGAGAGTTATTGGCGATTGTGAAAAAGCCTGAGGGAAAGGTTTGTTGTTCTAGTCTCTTATATATGGGACTAGAAGGAGCTCAGTGGAGTCTAAGCGTCTGCCAAGCTGCAGCAACTCTTCAACGCGCATGAAGTTGCGGCCCGAGTAGCAGTTTATGTTTCTTTACTGTTTGCTTTCCAGGTTTGATTATGTAACAAACTGCTACAACTTGCAAACGCAGCAACACAAAAACAGGATATATTGTATACAAGGGTCAGACTTCTGCCAAATCTAATGTGCAGTTTTACTTAAAGACAATCACAGGCTGAAAATAACCCCCTTTAAAGATCTGCATTTCTTAGATCCACCTGAGTTGCAACCAAAATATTAATAACAATGACAGGCAAGCAGGATGTCAAAGTCCACTCATTTAACAACTGTTTCTAGTCGCACTCGAGTTTACGCCACTCCTCCACAGAAACACCAAAACAAATCTGCAAGTATTTACAGGCCGGCTGCTTTCATCATTCCTGGCAGAAAACAAACGAGCCTGGTTCCCCTCTTTAACAAACACCCTGTCTAAGTTGAAGGGGTTATTAGGAGTGAAGGCTGTTCTGAAAAACGGGCTGCCAGTTCTTCAAGACAACCACAACAACTGCCCTGAAAAGCACCATCTCGGTGTGAAGGCCCTGGCGGATCCGAGCTTGTGACAGCCACATAATGGTAATGGGATCATTCGTCATGATCAGACCTCACATCTGCAGCGGTGGATTGTATTTTACAACAACGAGCGAAAAGACGGCAAAAGCAAATAAAACTGCATTTTTTCCCCTCAGTGGCATTTCTGTGATTTGATCAAATCAGGGTCCATCTGTGTGTGTGTGTCTGTGTGTGTGACTGTGTGAGAGAGAGAGAACCTGGCTTATGAATCCTACATAGGCATACGCCATCTTTAATAATGTACCATAATAAAGGAGGAAACTGTAACTGTGATACCGTAAATGCTTCACCAATGCCCGGGGTGCGTGTCTGTGTGCTTCTATCAAAGGGTACGACAATTGCGCTTGACAAAAGGAAGAACAAACACAAGTCCCTTCTAATTACACTTGTGTCATCTTCAGTGGCTCCACATCTGCACCACCACTGTCTCTTCATCAACAATCTACCCTCTGAAGCTTGTCACTCTATTTCCCTGTAATTTATCGTCCCGCAACGTTAAGCGACCGGAAACCTCCCAGCCTGGAGTCACTCCTCACACCACTTGAAACAAAACCATCTCAGTTGCCATCACTGAAATGAACTCTTGCTTCCCACCGGAGGGGCGGTGGTGGGGGGAGAAGGGAGGTTGGCAGGAGCACAGAGGCATAATACACACACGCAATGACACGGCCACACATACGTCTACTGTTGTTGAAGGATCTGAATGGCGGCAACCACAACTCTACTAAGAATAAGTCGCTTGTCTCCGTTGCGCTATCTGATATGGCGGCTCACATTCAGCTTACTATACATAACATACAGTTCTAAGCTATTTACACCAACTCATGCTAAGACATAGCAGGCTTCATTCTGCATTACCACTCCGTGCCAGGGGAGCAGTGGCGTCACAGCCAGCGGGATGCAGTGGGAGACAGTTCACGCAATCTAGGTGGCAAAGCATGCACATGTGAGAAGGAGGAGAGGAAGGAGGAGGATGCAGGGAAGACAGGCACCAAATACTGCAGTGCGAGAAGTGTGTGACAGTCCCTGGAGAGAGGAGGTGAGCTGCAGCTGGATCTTTTGGAATTTATAATTATTAAAAATAAAAATCACCTGAGCAGAAGCGTGTTAACAGAAGCGGCTCTGGTCGCACCGTGCTTAAAGGCAAAGACCCTCTTTAACTTTCCCAACACTCTGAACAAGAAGACACGCATGGCTGCCTCAGTATCAAATATTTATTAACCTGGTGGGCTGAAGATGCCCTCGTGCTTGCCTTCAGGTTCTCAGATTGTGCTCCTCAATGCACGCTTGCTTCAAGTTTAATTGGATTTGTGTGAGCGTGTGCTTCGTTTAACCTGACAGGGAGAGCTCATTCATCAATCAGTGTCATAATGTTGTTTGCATGTGTGAGACAGAGGCTCTGCGTTGCTGGATGGGCAACAACGGCAGCATACATGCAAGGAGACCACGATAAACGCACACACAAATGAATCAGTCAGCTGCTAAATCACATTGCTGTTTGGCAGTTTCCTGCATGCTGTTTCACCACGACGTAATTACAAATATGTGAATGTAACAATTTAAAACTCACAGGAAGGACATACAGTTGTATTCCTCGTGTACGCTATGCTACGCAGCAGCTCCTGCACCCACAGGAATCCCTTAGAATAGACTTTTTAGTTAGATGCACACAGACTGAACACTTCACAATAAATTGCTTAACTCCTCCTGAAATATATTAGCTAAGGGTCAGCAAGACGACAACTATTTACAAGCTGATACTGTTTCTTTCACATTCTGCTCACGGCTCTTTTTGAGCAGCTCTGCTGCGTCTATATGAAAATACTCTCCAGCTCTGCCTGCAAACTGCCGTTTGGTCTGATACGATCAAAAGGACTCCCTTAAGGTCCCTTGTGTTTCCATGCAAATACGAGACTCCTGTCATTCCATTTGCTTATCGCCATATCCAGTTTTCTCATACATGTTTTTCTCATCCAAAAGCAACTGACTGGGTATTGGCGTGAACTTGGCCACTTGGCAGGGCCGCAGACGGATTTGTCCTACTCTCCAGCTCCTGCCTGTTGCTTATCACCCAACTCATCACTGGGCTCACCAAGTCAAAGTCAGACTCAGGCATACCAGTATATCACAATTCACAAATGCAAAGCAGCACTGCTAACACTGACATGGCCCAAGGACACTGTAACTAAGAACCACAATTTTTAAAAGTGGCAAAAACTGAATCACAAAGACAGAATAACCATGTTTCCTTTCAATAAAAATGAA